TGACTATTCCCTCCTTACTCAGAAAGCCACATCGAGTCCCGTGTCCAGTTCTGGGCTCCCCAGTACAAGGGAGAACAAGACATTGCAGAGATAGTCTGGCAAAGGGCTGCAAAAATGAAGGGACTGGAGCCTTCCACTAAACCAGGAAAGACTGAGAGCTTAGACTATTTATTGCAGAAAAGAAAAGGTAGGGAGTGTGGCTCTTACTAGTGAATATAAATGCCTGAATGGAGTGTACCAAGTGGAGGGAGAGAGCCTATCTCCAGTGACAGGGCCAGAGGCATTGGGCACAAACTGAAACACGGGGCTCCATCTGAACGTCAGGAAACATTTTTTCACTCTGAGAGTGACTGTGCACTGGCACAGGATGCCCAGCAAAGCTGTGGAGTCACCATGCTTAGATGTAGTCAAAAGCCATCTGGACACGGTCAAACAGGTGGCTTTGCTTGAGCAGGAGGCTTGAACCGGATGACCTCCAGATCCCTTCCAACCTCAGCCACTCTGCAATTTTGTGAAATGAAGTATTTATTACAATGCTTAACTGTGATGATAATACTTGAAAAGGATCATCAGTACCACGATTATAAAAAAGTTTGAAGTACATACATTTCCTAGCCACATGGTATGCCATGATTATCAGCCTCTTTAGGAATCTGATTGTCCAGTACTTTAGAATTCCTTTGGCTCCAGAGCACAAAATACATGTTTAAAGACGGTTGTGGTCAAAATGTTAACACCTATTTTTCTGTGCAGAAAAAGATCAGGCATATAAATTCATGCCAAAGAGCTACATTTTCTACTTGATGATACCAAAAATAAATGTACTTTCAGTAGCAGAATCTGGCTGGAATTCTGCCTGCCCTTCAGGCAGGCTTGTAACTTGGTAAGGAGACCAATGTACTGATTGTGGATCTATCATCCATGACACTGTCAGCAGAAAACACTTTGTAAAAATTTTTATAAAGACTTTTAAAGTGTATTTATGCACACCTCACTGCTGTTTAAAGTTTTTAGGGGATGGGTCCTGAAGATGTGTGCAGAGACAATGACTGCATTTTTTAGTTTTCAAGCACCAATCTAAAAGGCTAAACTTGTCATCTCACCACTGATGAGCCTGATATACTCAGAGGTATCTTTTATAAATAACTGAAGTTACAATGTTGGTTCTTTTAGTAGAACCAGAGTAACAGATCTGACTTTAATTTTGAAAGGGACATATTATGACAGGAACATGCTTCTTCCACTCAGTATTCAATGTCTGCACATGCCATATATTATAATCATAAACAATACTTTATATTTTGTCAAAGGTTTAGCTAAACACTGCCTAACACAAACATGTGTGGGCCTGTTGAACACCTCCTTTGAGAAGTCTGGCAGGCAACAAGCCTTCTGCAGGAGAATAAAAAAGCTGCTTGAAAACCAGTCCGGTTTTCCAGGCATCAAGTTAAATATTTACAACAAATGTTAACTTCCCACCATGCATCTGCCCATCTTCATGTAGTATTCCCCCTGAAGGATTCTCCTCCCAGGTGACAAGTGAAATCAAGGTTTCAAAGTCAGATTCTAACAGTTTTGACAGATGTAAAGACAAATACTCAGCAGATCACTGCTGTGAGAACCAGCCATAGGGCTGTCCATGCTAGGGAGCTCAAAAGTCAGCAAAACAAGGCTCCTGGTGGCCTTCTTCTAGGAGCCACTCATCAGAAGAGGAGTGTTGAATTATTTGAGTGACATGACAGCCTTGCACAGACTTCCTTTCCTTTGGAGAGACTGCTCCTCATTTCCTTTCATCTTGTGAGTTTAGAACCTGCCCCAAGTCAGGCAAGACAAGCACCCATGCATGTCCTGAGATCTGGAAAATAGTGCTGTGGAAAGGCTGCTTTTTTCCTCCCTCTCAGTGAAAAGGGAAAACGCAGTGTGGGTGCAATCGCAGCTGTTCACAAAAAAAATCTGCAACAGATCTAATTTCACACACAGAGGAATTTCTCTTGCTCTTGTGACGCAGTGGAAAGGTTTCATTTTTGTGGCATTACTATCAATTAATACTATTTCTGTATAGTCACCCAGGGGCCTCTGCTTGGGTGTGGTCTCACAAGCCTGGAATCTGAGCAACAAGAAAGTCGTGGAAGCCTATTATTGACCTGATATTTCATAGGAAGCTTATGGACCAAGACTTGCTGCTCTTCAGTTCCCAGCACATGAGAAGGGCACTCACAGCACAAGAATGAATGAGAAAGCGGAATCATGGTTGCTGCTATTCAAAGCACAGTCTATGGTGACTATTAAGCAGTGACTCCATTCATTTCTACTCCTTGTACTCTTTGTAAAAATAGCAGATAATTCAGCAGTTCTGAAACTTTTTTCTACTACTTTTTTCTCGCTTTCCTCCCCCTTTGTCTGCACACACCTGCAGGGAGTGGATCTTGTGAGGAGAAAAAATTGCTACAGCTGCTGACAGCAAAGTAATGGTGTCAGCAGGGGACAGGAGGCTGGAGTAGGAAATCTGGGGGACAAACAGACCATTAAATGAACTGGGGGAAGAGGAAGGGAGAAGGAAGAGGAAGTAGAGGAGATGAGGAGGAAGAGGAGTAGAGCAGGATGCTGGCAGTGCACTGACAACTAAAGAGTTTTCAGAGCTGCCCTTTTACTTAACAGAGACCCCTAAACATGACAGAATCACCAGGAACAGCTGCAGTTTTGGCAGCAGCTCCCAGGAGCCTGCGTCTCTGTGGTCCTGGCTCTCCTCTGCACTGCCTGTCTACATCTCCTGGCAGAGCCCTTTGTCACAGCCCCACTTCACACTCTGTCACTCTCCCAGATCCAGCCAGCAGTCCCACCCTGATCCCAGTAGTTGCACTATAGAAAGGATTAAACTCCTCCTGTTGCCACCATAAAAGCATGATTAATTGAAGTGACTGAGGGTTTCTTGTGCCACTGATGTTTGGCCTGAGGGTAGTTATAGAAGAATAAAGAAGTTATATTGTGCGGTCCTGATATAGATGTTCTAATTTGGAATAAACTTCCCTGCATAGTTTAAGACCCACCAACCACTGAATCATCAGCAGTATCACTGTAAGTGTCAGAGTTCTGGAAGAACCTCGATGTAAAAAACCTTTATATAATAATTTTCCTGGCCTTTTGGAGGACTGTAAGTCCCGTTGATAAGTAACTGTTCTCACAGAATATATCTGGATTCCCTTAAGGCACTTGACTTTGTACCATATACAGACATAAAGAACAAGCTGGATTTACAAACTGACTTACAGACCAATCTCTAAGGAGTTATGATAGTCATTAACGTGGGGTCAGTGAGCAGAGTGCCAAAGGTCTCAGCTCAAGGGCCAAAAGTGCTTAGTAGTTTTATAGCTGTGAGAATTATACAAAATCTGTGGCAAAATCTGCTACTGATAAGTTTGTTTCACTTGCAGATAACAAAGACATTACCATAAGAGTGATTTTGTTGAAAGATACCAGCCCTGATGTCTTTTGATATAGTTAAACACTTAAGGTGCTAATTGTTTTGGGAAAACAGTTACATAAATTCCATGCATGGATCAAAGGCCTGGATTCTGGCAAGAAGCTAACAGTAACAATGCAAAACCACCCCAGAATAAACCCTCAAATAATGCTGTACACACAGAGAATGTAATCTTTGAATGTATAAGGGGAGAATGTTGTGTAAGGCAAGGAAGTGACCTAGTCTTGTAAGGATGCTGTAAACTCATGCCTGGCAGTCTAAACATGCCAGCAGTCCATGCACTATACCTAACACAACCCAGATTGTGTGGCATTAAATGCCCCTAAACTTTGCAACTTCTCAGCACATCCCGCAGGTCTGAACAACCCAGTCTTATTTTCCTTTTTCCCTTCCCTGAGCCTGGTAAAAACTGCTCACAGCAGTGTCATCCCCTGCAGACTCCAGCCATTCTCTGGCCCACTTGCTGGTGTCCTTCCTCTCCTCAGCTATAGCAGGCTCCAAAATGAAGCTGGCGAGTAGATGGAACATAGGAAGAGGAAAAAAATTGTGCAAGGATGGCACTAAGGACACTGTCTTCAGTGGCCCAGGGAACAGGGACACACAGCATCCCCACAATGCCAGCCGATGAAATTCGGAGACAATTTGTCACAAGACATAAAACATCCCAAGAAATACGACAGGAGGCAATGGGCAGAAAGCAATGCACAGAAGTCCCACCTGAGTATGAAAAACTTCTTTACTGGAGCACATTGCCCAGTGAACACAATCGTGTGCCCTGAGCTCTAGAATGACCCTACCTGAGCAGGAAGGTTGGACCAGATCAACAACTGTGGTCCCTTCCAACATTATCCATTCTGTGATTCTGTGACAAATCCCCAGGCCCCACTAATTCCTTACACTTAAGTGTTAAGGTGTAAGTTTTGCTATGGAAGGCAAAATCACCACAACCTTTAAATGAATATACATGTATTTATACAACATATAGACTCAAAGGATGTTTGGTTCACACATCCGTCATACACAATAGGGCCAACACTATCACCTAGGCTTTGGACCGTGGGCTCGCCTTGTATTCTTTAGAGGTTTTGAACGGTTTTGGAAGGTATTTCGAGCCTTCCCGTACAACTCCTGCCTGGGACCTGTGATGCCCAAGACACGGGAGGCCAGGCCAGGCCGCGCCGCTCCCTCAGGAGCGAGCCCACCGCAAGAGCCCCTCGGACGGCCCCAGGCGGGGCCGAGTCACGGCCTCCCGCTGCCGGGGCCGCGAGCCGCGCCATGCTCGGCCATGGCCGGCCATGGCACGCCGTGCCGTGCCGTGCCGTGTCGTGTCGTGCCGTGCCGTGTCGTGCCGTGCCGTGCCGTGCCGTGCCGTGCCGCTCCGTCCTGCGCAGCGCGGCCCAGGCAGAAGGCGGGGCGAGGCGGGGCGAGGCCCGGCGGTTCCGGCGGCAGAGCGGCAGGCGGTGCCATGGCGGCGGCGGATGTGCGTCCTGCGCCCCGCCCCGGCCCTGCCCCGCCGCCGGCCGCCCGGCCGCGTAGACGGGGCGGCGCGGCCGCCTCTCCCCGCGCAGCCGCCGCCGCTCTGCCGGCGGCCGCCATGGAGGATGTGGGCTCGGGCGTGAACGCGGACGCGGAGGTGCGGAAGCTTCAGGAGCTGGTGAAGAAGCTAGAGAAGCAGAATGAACAGCTTCGCAGCCGCCACGGCGCCCTGCCCGCCGCCCCCGCCAGCCCCAAGCGCCTGCCGAGCGCCGGGCCCTCCTCGCCACCCCCAGCCGCCTCCCCGTCGCCCGACGGCCGCTGTCTCAGCCCCAGGGCCGCCGCCCGGCGTTCGCTTCCCGAGGAGCCCGGCGGCGGCGATGGGGGCAGCGGCGGCAATGGCCTGCTGGACGACGCGGCGGTGCTCAGGCCGGAGGAGCTGGAGCGGCTGGCCGGCTGCGATGAGGACGAGACCTGCTGGTGAGGAGGCGGCCGGGGTGGGGATGGGGCGGGGGCGGTCGGTGAGGAGGCGGGCAGGGCTCCGCGTCCCCGTGCCCCCGCCGTGCCCGGAGGGAAGGGGCTGTTTCCAGGCGTGTGTCTGCTGTCGGAGGGGGTCTCGGAGCTTTGTGTGCGGTGGCAGCCTCGCCCTCTGGGCTGGGTGAAGGGCTTAATGAGCTGTGCGAGACGTACCGAAGCCTGCCGGGGAAGGGTGTTTCGCTTTCTGCTTTCTGCACACGGCGTTGGAGCTCCCTGGGGACCGCGGCTCTGCTGGGCCGCGGCGGGAGCGCTACCTCGGGGCGCTCAGACACCGAGCGGGCTCCAGTGCTGCCGCAGCATCAGCATCAGCGTTCTCGGGCGTGCAGGCGGTGGGGAGCCGTGGAGAAACTTGTGGGAAATTTATAGGGTAGTTCAGAATTAGCCCACAGGTACTGTTAGACTTCAGCCATGCATCAGGCATCTTTTATGCCTCGATTTCTTTCAGCTGTAAAGATGGCAAAGGTAACACTTTTTCATCTCATAAACGCGTTGCCCTTAGGTGTTCTAATTTATTGCTAATGATGTAGTCGGATCACGGTTTCCCTTAGGTGGTTCCTCGTTATAAATGGACTGCTTTACCCTGCTGCTCCAGCAGAAACAGCTGCAGGTGGCTGTTTGCCTTGTCATTATTACACTTGGATGTTCTTCCACCGAGAATCAAGAAGACTTGCTCTCTCCAAACATCACACTGTTTCTAGCTGTCGTTTTGAAGTTTCCTATGAGAGTTGCTGAGGGGCAGCCTCAGAGCTGCAGGACAGATAGTGAGGAGGAGCACCGTGTCAATACCATGTCAACAGAGGAATGCAAGGGAAACGTGTACAGGGACAAAAAGTGTAATACAAGCAAACTGTCTTGCAGCAGAACCGATTGTGGGTCCATCTACCAAGGTCTCTGGGAGCAAATATGGAGATAAACTTAAAAAACAAACAAAAATGTCTTTTAGAGTTAGAAACGCCTTAGAAATGCTGGACTGATTCCATGCATGAGCAATGTTTTAGTTGCTCAGGGAGGAGACAGTGTGTGCACTTCCTTGGCAAAGTCATTTGCCTGACATTCAGCCTGATCCACTGGAGAAGTATGAGAGCATAAGTTTATTCTCATCCAACACTAAATTAACACAAGGCATCATCTCCCAGAAGATGAGTCTGTGCAAGGCAGCTGCTCTTATTTCTTACTTTTTGCCTTGTAATCTACAAAGGCCTACAGCCCTTGATGGAAATACAATCTGGTAAATTAGCAGGGCAAGTTTGAAGTAGGATGGCCAAATTTGTAAATGTCATGAATTCTAGTGACAATAGATCTTACTGTTTTATACATTCATTCTAAATCATGGGTAGTATAATGAATCTCTTAGGTGAAAGTGAATGTCCCGACAGCACGTGTGGTGACAGTGGCGTGTGTTTTTGTTGACACAGTTCTGGGTACTCACTCACGGGGCAGCCAAATGGTTCTCTGAGCACTGCCCTTGCTGGTGTCAGGTGTTTGGCTGCCAGTTGTTGTGGCACTGTCATGTTTCTGTGCAAGTTCTAGTGCTCAAAAACCAGCAAAACTTACAGGCGGTCCTTAGCACATCTTCATTCCTTTACTAATATTTTGGCAACTATAATGCTGAAGTCTTTAGCAGCTAATTTTCAGTCTCCGGAATGGGACACTGACTGAGACACAAATGCATGGAACAAAAAAAGCAATTGTAAAAATTTGCTAATTGTCATACATATCACAAAATATGGATATGTAGTTATTAAAAAAAAGTGTATTCCTGCTGTAGTTTAATCTGCAACTAATGATAAACATATTTTTGCTAGATTGATGATTTCTTGTTCCAAAGTGCTTAATTAAAGTGGAAATTAAGCTCTTGGAATTTCTAAACACCTTCTAATTCAACTGTTGAGACACTAAATAGTCCAGTCCCTTTTATTTTCCTATTAAGGGAAGATGCCTTTATGCATTTGATTAATGGAGGTTATTTGTCTTAATGAAGTTTGAAATTTTCAGAGGGCTGATGGATCAATCTAAAAGAAACAAGCCTGTGAAGGTAGGAGGGGTTGGGTGAATAAGTGGGTTTCCCTTAAACTGTTTCATAAATAATTTAATCAATTGAAAGAGTGAATGTATTCAATGAAATTTAAGTCTTATATGAACTCTTTGAGGTTCAAATGGATTAACCCAAAATCCTGTTTAAAATATGGGATTACACACTGTCAAAATCAAGTATCTCTTAGCTGCTGAGGACACCTCTTGTGGAAACAAACTAAATTTAAATCATTGTTTGTTCATAAAAAATTGATTCATCTTGCCTGTTTTGCTTGTCTACATGTAGAAGTTAAGATTTGTCTTTACTTTTGATTTCAAAAGGACCTTGCTGTGGGTAATAATAGGTTGTAGAGGGTGCTGGTTATTGCTGTTCTTTTCTGTTTTGTGTAATACAGACATTTTCATACCCCATTATGAAATTGTCTGCAGTTTTGTCATGGCAGAATAAATATTTTTTTAACTGTTAAAATTACATTGTTTTACATTTAATGCTCACATGAGAATAGTGGCTGTGAATTTAAGACAGAACACTTGATACTGTGATTGAAATTGATACTAGAATGTGACATGTTTCTTTAAATCTACATTGAAGAGTTGATCAACTTATTTTTAGCTTTTAAAATGCATTTTAAAATGCATTTAGGTTAAGTATACAGAAGAGAAGTGTGAAGTGAAAAAGTAAGGGGAAGGTGCAACTATCAAACAAGCAAAGGAACTTTTTGACGCTGCTGTTTTAATAGCAGCATTAGCTATTAAAACATCCATACAATATTAGTGAATTTTGGGATTGTTTATATTTTTGCTTGATTGCTTTTTTCCTCTGTGGTTAGTTAAATCCAGATTCACTTCAAGTTTTAAACATTTTTGCATGAGACAATCTTCAAATTATGTGGTAAATTACTAAAAAATATTTCAGCGAATTTGGATTGTCTTGTCTATATGCTTCTGAATAATATTTAATGTACTGAAACTTTCTTCCTGATTAGATCCTGAAGGTTGCAGATGGGCACATCTGTATTTGCACACTGTACTGCGCTCCGCACAGACACATGGAGACTTTGCTTTAGGCCTGCTGATTATTTCCTCCAGTTATCAGCGACTTCCATAATCTACTCCGTGGGTGTTCCTGTTTAGCTGTTCTTGAGCCAGATTGCATCAAATTCAATTTTTTTGCATGTTCAGTCTGAATGAGTTTTTTCTTACTAATTAATTGAAAAAACAATAGGGCAAAAGGGGTGACCAGAGTGGAGAAATCTTCAGGGAAGTGGTGTATACCTCCTTGCCTGACTGGCTGGGTAAGGTTGGGTGTGGATGTGCAGCATGTTGGAGACATCTGGATAACAGTGTGCAGGGTGGCTTGCCATGCTGCTTTTGAAAACAGTTTATTGGGTCTTGAGTTTATTGCAGGATAAGTGTGCACACGTGGGCAATTACTGTAGATTAGTTACTGTGCTGTGAACCCACTGTAACTTCCTTTATGGTAACTTGTTACACAGTCACTCAAGCTAAGCTTTCTGACAAGTTTTGTTTTAAATGTGAGCAAAGCATGCAGTGCTTTTCTTCAAAATTTACTTGCAGCATGTGCATAAGAGAGTACAGAGCTTGCTGTGTAACTATTTTGTACATGTAATTGCTCAGCAAACTTCAAAACAGTTGTGTCCTCTTTAAATGACAGTGCTATAAAAACTAGCCTAGCACTCATGTTTTCATATCAGCATAAAGTCTCCTTGGTAGGGTTAAAATAGCTGACAGTTGACTGACCTCATTTACAAACAAAAGGCAGTTCTTGTGTATTTAAAATGAAATTACTGGGGTTTTTTTACTAACTAAATAGCTAAAAGTAATCGTTTCAGTGTTTCTTAAGACCTCAGATTGGTTGTGTATTCTGACTAGTTAAAATGGAAGGCACATACTTTTACTATTATACCCACTCTCATTCAGCAGCTATTTCTAATTTGCACCTGTTTATAATAGTGTCAGTTTCCGTTCTAGCCATCCATTATCGTTAGTTGGCCAAGGGCCTGTTTGAGGTACATGATTGCCGTCTGTAATGGCTGTCTTCCCTCTCCTATTGCTTGGGGTCCCTTGAGCACAAGCATTGGTTTGGAATCCTGGTTTGCCATAGTGACCCGGTAAAGTATACTGTGACTATTTTAGGCTACAGCTCCACCTGAATGAAACCCCATTGCTGAAATTACATTGCAGCATTTCCTGTTCAACTGTTAAATTTTGTTCTATTAATGTGGTTTAGGTCCCTTGGAAGCCAGACAGATCCTGATCAATTTCTGTTTTGTGGTGTAAGTAGAAGAAAAATTGCTGCTTTTCATTTTGTGGCAGATAAAAAGTCAATTTGATTTAAAGTTTTTGGGGTTTAATCAAATGCAGATAATGTCTTCACAAACTGGGAAGATAATATGAAAAGCGCGTAAGAAAAGCAAGGGTTATGGAAGTTGCCGGTTTTATCATGAAAAACAACTGGTAACATTAAATAATACTCAGTTTGATTATTGTCCTTGAGATATCCATGTTTGTTGTGAAACAGATATTTGAGGACTGGAGGAAGAATCCTGAGGAAGAACTGTTTCCATTTCTGACCTTTTTTTGTGATAATTATGGCTTTTAAACATGCTTGATGTTTAGATAAAATGAAAGCTTTGATGTGGGTCTCCTTTACTGTCCTAATGCTATTCCTGAAATTTGGTACATAATCATGTCTTGTTTAGGCACGATTCACACTTCTGCTACTTGTAGTTGTGGGTAGAGCTCTCAAGCATAGTCATTAACAGAATTTTATTATGGAACACATTAGAACACAGAACTTTTCAGCTGTTGTCTTCATTGTAAATATCAGCAGTGCTATGTTTGAGCACATATGCACTAACAAATTTCTTATGAAAAGCTTCTCAAATAGTGGACAATTTGTACAATTTGTGTGATAGTTCTAGGGAAGCTACATGATGGTAGTTTTGATGGCCCATTTCCCATTCTCCATTTTCCGACACAAACGTGTTCTTTTTGATGAGGAAATGAACAATAGGAGTAATTTCCAGCAACTACTCGGGGCACAGCTAGCTATCTTTAATTGCTGGGCACAGAAAGATAGTTGTGTTCCAAATTGCACTTTGCAATTTCTTGGATATTCTCAATTCGACTTAAAAATTGCATTATGTAACTGAGATGTGCCACTGTAACATGAAGGTTAATGAGACTGTCAAAGCCTTTTTCTAGTATTCATATCCTAGAGTTTATACTCATAGACTGGAGTTTGCTGTAGTTTGTGCAATCTCTCAGAACTAGAAGTAGTCTGTGAAGTAGAGCTGAAAACTAATAATTTCAGGCTAAGCAATGTGTATCTCAGTCACAGCTGTAGCACAGGAATTTTGTGGGGTAGGGAGAAGGAAAGGAAACCCATGGGCCACATAAGTGCAGTCACGTAATTTTTTGATTGATTTGTCATTCAACCAGAGATGCTTTTCAGATCTTTGACTGTCCGTTCAAAATCCTCTTAAATTCTAACATGCTTAAGCCACTTCAGATGGGGTTTCCTGAAACTTTTAAATTGTTTTAAAATAGCTTAGATTGACACTGTTGTTTTCTGAATTGTCTGTTTCCAATCCTGTCTAGTATTATTGTCTCCTGATTTATATATTTTCATTAGCTTTTTGCTGTGAAATTTCCTTCTTGTATTTTAGGGGCATTTCTTATTGATTTGTCCTTGGATTTCAGCTTTTTCTCTTCATCACGTCTTCAGGTTTTTAATCTTGCTTTTGCATGCATTTTGTATGTTCCCATTTAATTTCCTTTATTGTACCTTCCAGTTTTTGCTTAAAGCTAATGTAGCTAAAATAAATGAGCTCTAATTTCAGATTCCTTCCACTTGCCATCTTCTTTCTAATTCAGATTTGTGACTTCATGTTCATCTGCATGTTTTCCCTCGCTCTTATACTGAGCCATGGAAGGATTTTGATGCAAAAAGACACTTCCTTTTTTTCCCAGTTAGGAGTTTTGGCTTCTTGTTTCATTCCTGTGGCGACTATCCTCTTGTATTTTAATGCACTGGGAGGTGTTCCTCAGGTGAGGTAATCTGTACACAGATGTTCCACTCCTACTGCAGTGGTGTGTCCTCTTTCTTCAAAGCCTTTTCTGACTCATCTGTGTCCCAGTGCAGCATGCTGCAGCTTGCCCTGTTTGGCTGACACCATATATGCTTGTAGTCTCAGCAGTCTTCCTGCAGAAGCTCTGCCCTTTTCTGTGCTGCCTCTTCCTGGAACTAATCAGTAGAGCCCCTGGCTGCTTTCAGCCTCAGGTTGGTGCTGCTGTGGTGTGGTTGACTAGTAAGAGCCAAAGGAAGGAAATACTAATGGCTGCAGCAGAGTCATAGTGTCTGGTCTCCTTAATGTTGTTTCAAAGTAGATCAAAGCACCTTTTAATATACGATTGTGTTCTGCTTTACGTTACGGCACTGAGTTGTAGAGTCTTTACTCTGTTGTGGAGAGATTGGAGTATATGTTTCTGTGTTCACATTTGTAGTATGGGTGGCAACTGTAAGTTGTCGGCTTCCTCAGTCATTTTTAACTTCCTGTTTTGAGAGAGTTGATTTACAGTGGTTAAAGATGTATGAAGTTATTCTGTTAATCTTCTATCTTGAAGTTGATGTACTGCCAATCAGTGGTGTTGTTGCTGCAGAATGCATTGACAGGTACAAATGGGATCTCTTCTGGAAGGTTCATCAGCTAAAGAGGACCTGTATCATTTGGGTCAAACAGTTTGACAAAGAACACCACTTAGTTGTATGAAGTTACTTGTATGTGCTTCATGTATCTGTTCTTTTTCTGATGTTGGGAAAAGGGGAAGAGGTAATAGAGGCATCACTCTGATTCTTTTCTTAGCCTTGCCCTTGGTCCTTTTAGTTTTTGTAAAATCCATGTTCGGTAAAGCAAGTAAAATTAAGTCTCAAAACTGGAGATTGGCTGTTCTTTGTCAGGTGGGATATTAAGATCACTGCTTTATCGTGAGACTTTATAATTGCATGATCTACAAGAAACTGTCCTGAAAGAGCTGTTTTGCCACTGCATCAGTGTACATGTGTATGTTGGAGTGGAGTTGCACGAAATGTGTATGGTGTCAAATTCTGTCTTTCCTTGAAGTCTAAGTCATGAAACAAAGGTTGATAAAGGAAAACAGTTGACTGGGAAGAGGTGGGGGGAATATGGAATATATATTTGGTTAGAAAGGGAGGTGGAAAAGAGGGAGAAACTGTGTGAGCCTGGATTGCTTCAGTAAATAAACTACTTGTGAAACAAATTGAACAATTGGGAATTCCTGAAAAGAATGTGTCAAAGCTTAAAATATCAGGTAGAGTTTTGATTAGAACAGTCTTGGTTTATTGAAGATGCCCCTTTTGTGTGTTTCTCAAAGAGGACATGCACTTTCATTTCTTGTCTTTTATACTGGCTACTACTGTAAACTGAATGTGCATGGAACTTCTCAAACACAGCAAGGCATGTCAGCTATCCAGAGAACCAGGAGTGAGCCTGGCCTGTACTGGGCAAAAGCTGGCCTTGTTGCCTTTGATGCTTCTTTGTATTGTATAAACATACCTCAGGACAGAAAGGAGTACAGGCAAGTACTAAAAAGACAGTAAATTCAAAATGTTAGAGACATAGTAAATGTTAAGCATTTTTAATGGTATGGGGAAGTCATAAAAGTTAAAGTGGCATCATTGTTTACACAACTGTGATAATTGAGTGACTTTTGTGCTTTTCAAGGATCTTCAGGACTATAAATAATACATGAAGGGCTTTTAGCTTTTCTTTTGGGCCGAGTGTCCAATTGTAGGCATTTCTACAAAAGTAGTTATGACAGACAGCATGATATTGGCCAAAGCATAAACCCCTTGAACTACAGGAAGTGGCAGTGACTATTTGGATTGTTACAAAGAGCTTCCATTTTATTTTAAAACCTGGCAGCTAATAAACATTTTCTCACCTGGATCTGCAAGCATGGCTTGCTAATTTCAGTGTTAGAGGGAAGAGTGTTTTGGAGCTCACTCTTAATAAAGATCAGTGTTTTGGGTAGAGTGATGGTCTTATAAACACAAGCTTTTGTAAGAAGTGAACTTAATAGTAGTAATTACAAAAAAAAAATCTCTAAAAGCTATTGTAACACCAACACTTCAAGTTCTAGAATTACGGAGGAGACATGAGATAATCTTGTAGAGAAAGTTGTGAGAAATAACTTCTGTGTTGCTAATGTCATTGGCATAAAGAGAAGAACTTTTGCTGTGTATTTTGTACAGAAGCATGTCTGATTAGACTGTCGGATGTTCCTATGTGACACTGTGGAATACAGTCATTCACTTGGAATAGGAAGTCTGTCATTACTCTAGAAGAAATGCTTGTTTAGCTGATTCTACACATGCATAATCTCTAGTTAAGAGTTATGTCTTGCAATTCACTTTTGTCTTTTGCTGAACCACATTCCCAACTTTGGTTCTAGTCCAAAGTAAGGCTTAAAGTTCCCTATTTTGAGTGTGTGATTGGTTATGACTTTTCCTTTGATCTGTCTGTTGAGGGAGGAGAAGTTTTCAGCTAAATTTCTAGAGTTATTAAACTGGATTACTACTTTCTTCAGTCATGGAATGTTGATGTTAAAAAAAATGAATGGAAATGCTGACAGACAAAGGCTTAAGTATATCTGGGAAAACAATTTGGTCTCATTGTTTCTCTATTCTCCTGTGTGCATTATTTCTTTTTCCTTGTTGCTAATGCTTGTATACCTCCTTAGGACAGAGATAGTTCCTTTGTTCTGTGTTCAAAGAGAATGAAAATATCAAGTACTAGGATAGAAATAATAAATAAAAATAAATTCTTTATTGTTCTAGGCTACTAAAACAGTAGTTGTGTTTTGTGTACTTTAGCACTGCTCCTTGGCTATTAACATATTTATTGCTTCCTTTGCTTAGGAAAACAAGAGTTCTCTATTGCATAGCATTTCATTTCTTTCAGGTGAATCTGAAAAGATTAATCCTCATTTGTACATTTATGTAACAATGAAATTGTCCATATACATAATGTGTCTGAAGTCCTTGGTAGCCATATGTTATCACTGTTATGCTTTCTCCAAACCAGTTAATTTTAGGGTCAAATCTGTGCTTTCTTTATCTTTTGGGATTGTACTATAGTGTAGATAGAGTGTAAAACGATAAATAGCATATTCTGTGGTGTTGTGTTGCATGTCTGCTCTTATGCTCATTTTGTCCGTCCTCATAAATTATATTTTATCTCTCTTTTCCAGGTTGTATACATCTCCAAAGAAGAAACTGAATCCAGTGCAAAAAAGTGTCAGTCCTTTAGTTTGGTGCAGACAGGTATTGGATTACCCAAGTCCTGATGTTGAATGTGCTAAGAAGTCACTGATCCACAAGCTGGAACAAACAATGTCAGGTGAGTTTCTGCACACTGAAACCACTGGGTTGTATGTATATATTGTGAAACAGCATCAAAATTAGCTAATGGTTGTGAGATAGAATATCTATCAATTACTTGTGTCTAAAGCTTTCATTATGATTTACAAAGTCATTAATTCTACTCATTTTCTGGATTGTACGAATGACTTGAAAGAAGGCATTAGATCATGAGTCATGATTTCAGAGTTTTGTAATACCTGCATAGTTTGGTCTGATGTTTTCAGGAAAAACCAATGTTTTTAACTCTTTTGTTTTCTCTTTTTTTTTTTTTTTATTGAAGTCTGTAATAAGGTATCATAATTGTTAGGTACTTGTCAGTGTGTTAGCATGAAGTTTGATTTTCTGCTAAATTAATTATTTTACTTCATCTAAAGAAATGGAGGCTTAAGTTTTTCAATACTTTGGGGAAATGATAATGATTTATTTTCCCCCATCCCCAGTAACTTTAAAAATCTGACTGTAATTAAATCTTAAAAAATTCAGAGTTTATGATTCTTCCTTAATACTAATTAGTTGGATATATTCAAATCTGAAGAGTGTTTGACCCTGTGAGAATGAAAGCCTGCATTCTCCATCCTTCTATTACCAGACTTTTTTATGTCAAACCAGCAGCAAAATGCTGAAGGTCTGATTAGAATTCTCTGTCCATCTGGTTTCTTGTTTTGTTTCTTTGTTGGAGCCTATTTTTTTTTAATTCTTGTGAGACAACTTACTTTCTTGCTATTAATAGCTATTCTTCTCCTGTTCCATCTTTTTGTAGTCTACTACTGCTACATGTTAAACTGTTATCTTCAGGAATTAGCAGAATAGTTGGACTTGAGCTAAGAGTGTATGAACACACAGTTCCAGGAGTGGTTCCAACAGCCACCTCCTTTCTATGATTATACATAAACTTTGTGCTGAGTTTATTTGACTGTAACTTCTTCCTTGTCCTTGTATTGTTTTCTGGAGCAATTTAGTCTTTATTCTGGTTTCTAGTGAATTTGTTCTTAGTAAAATATAAATCCATCTTTTATTCTTATAGAAATTGTGGGCATAGTGGTGGAAGTGCCTTCAGTATGAGTCACCCTCAGTCTTTCCCTGTTTCTTGTGCTTTTTTATGCTGCCTGGACAAATGTCTGTTAAAAATTTACCTGAAGAGTTAACATGATACATGACTAGATACAGGCAAAGACGGATTCTGAACAACAAAAAGCACTCACATCACAGAGATTTATGAATGGTGATACATGTTTGGGAATCTGAATACTACTGAGTATTTATGAATGGATAGCAGTTGATTGACATAATTCTGTTTGTGGTTTAACTTCTTTCAGAATTGAGTAGAAGTCTTCCAAGAAGTACCACTAATTCTGTTACCCACAGGGTATCTTTAAAAATTCGTAGCTGAAGCAGAATGGCAGGAAACTTCTCTATTAAATGAATATATTTGAAAGTTTTAACATTAAAACAATGTGTTTAGGTAACTTAGCTCTTTTTTTGTTTTCCTCTAGACCTGCGAATCTGCTTCTGGCAGTGATACTTGCAAGAATACCACAATTTATTTATAGGTGGAAATACTAATGCTAGAAAAGATGGGCACATGCTGGTTGGAGCAGATTCATGCAAACATGAATTTTCAACAAAACACAAGATTGTCTTTTAGAGCCATCAGCCTCCCTTTACAGAGTAAGGGTAGCAGGGAGCTCCACTGGAGAAGACAAGTAGTGTTTCTTGTAACTTTGTTTCTCCTATTCTACACTTCAGGAGTATCGTGTAACTTGCAGTTTGCACAGTACTTGTACCTCAGGGACCCATCACTTAACCTGTTACTAGGTACTGGTTCAGTTAATAGATTCTAGTTCCAGTGTCCATGGATGAGGCTTTTCACACTTCTATAACTTTTTCCTGAATTCTTGCTGATGCTTCTTTTGCATTGACTCTTTTTACATTGTTAATTCCTGTTGTTACGTCTTTCTAATCTTAATCTTTTTCCTCTTTTTCATTCTCAAATGTCTCTTGTATTTCACATTTTCTTCTTCCATTGTAATTTCATTGCATGACAATAAAGGAGAGAAGAAGAGTTCTCATCTCCATGCTACTGTTAGCAGTTACTGATGCACAATGCCTTGTCAGCAGTCAGGTTTACCATTGCAGAGCAAGTCATGCTCAGTGTTGGAAGTGTGTTCAGACTAGAGGGAACTTCAGGGATATTCTGCACTCAGATTTTCCTATTTTCTACAGCAAAAGAAAAATTCATTACCATTTCAGCAAAATCATACCTAAAAGGAGTTAGATGCTGCATATGGTTTCTGAATATTACAAAAGAAAATTTACATTAAAATAAACTTGTTGATTATCAGCCCTCCCTTCTGGTGTTTTGAAATCTAATGCATAATCTTTTGTAAGCTAGTGTTTAATATTAGGATCATTTTAATGCTAAAATTATTATCTGTCTTGCTAATTTTGTCTGACACTTCTAATAAAGACCGTATCTCAAATTGTAAAAATAGTGATGTCTTCCTGAGTTACAGAAATCCCTGCTGGAAAACCTTCAGGAATTCTGGTCTAGAAAATGGTTTTGAATCCAGATATTTTTTGTCTGGGAAAACGTGCTGATGAAGGTTCACATCAGCTACTGTGAAAACTACACTGTGTATCAAGTCTCACCACATACCGGAGCAAACTTTTTACATGTAGCAAAGTCACTAAATTTCATCCAAAAAAAATCTGTATGATCAAATACTTTGTATCATTATGGATGTAGACAAAGAGCCTGTTTTGAAGACCATATAGTAGTAGAATTGTTTTCTAATTTGTGGTCAGTATTTTAAAATACTTGTCTGTGTAATAAATACAAAAGAAATAACTGTTGTGCAGACTTACATTTTAGGGATTTTTAATGACCTTTTTTGGCAAGAGATGAAAAGTAATTTTTTTTGTGTGTGAGAACAAAGATTCAATTGGAATAGATGCTTTGGAGTTCCTTTGTGAATGCTAGAAGTTTGATATCAAAAGGCCTCATCATAGTCACCCAGAACAGAGTGACTTTTAATTACTGGTTTTGTTTAGTGAGCTTTGTAATCAAATGGAGGTTTTCCCTTCTGACATGCAAACTGAAGATACCTCATGAATACTTGCCAGAATTTAGTGAATTCACACTTTGATGAAATTAACGCATATTAAGACTTGCAGTGAAAGCTGGAATATAAACCTTTCACCCTTCATCTATAAATGTCTTTTCATTCTAACTAAAACACTAGTAATATTAACTGGTTTAGAAAGGATCTTTACACGAGATGCAATTTTAGGAATTTGCTGCAAAGTCAGCGTTAATTTCTGCTGCTTTTGCCTCTGTGCTGTATTCTGCCACTGGCTAGGTTGGATATTGTGGTTTTTTTGGGGCACTCTTAAATTAGGAGAGGCAGTCAAATACTCCTGATATTTTTTAACCTAAATCTACTTTAGTAGGTCAGATAATAGTGCAGCCCCACCAATGTTTGCACTGGACAACTGAAGATGTAGTGACCAAGAGCAAAGGGGAGAAGCCAAAGCTTTGCTAGGCTTGGCTGCTGAAAGCAGCATTTCATGCAACTGTAGTCTGTTTTGGCTTCTAATGTCAAAGCAACAATGATTTTTAGTAAGGAAATTTGGGTTCCTTTCCTTTTTTTTTTTTTTTTTTTTCTGTCCACTGCTATCAGTAGCCTAATTCTTACTGCACTCATTGAAGTCCCTTTTCACTAAGAGAAATGTCACACAGTATTTTTTAATAGCTTACTTTCAGCAGCTGGGTGAGCTATAACTAAATCTAATCTGGATTTACATAACATCAAGTTGGCCTTTCTAGCTTTTTTATCTTAACACTTTGCAATTTAATTTGTCCTTATATATACTTCTGCATTAATATACTTCCAGCAGTGAAGGAACTGATTTGTAGCAAAAGTGTCTTAAATATCTTTTGGATCCCACTACCCCTGTAGCTGAAGTTCCATTTTCTGTTATATTTTAAATGTAAACTTTTGAACAAAATAGTTAAGTAACTAAACAAATAATATACCCGACAACCAGTGGAATTTCAGTATCATACTGTTTACTACTGTTAATACTCACCAGCGTTTAAAATTCATCTGAAAATGCTTCAACATTGAAACATTTACAATAAATGGCAAAGTACCAAATTTAGATCTTATATTGTGTATGAGGTTGAAGCCTATGGTCAGAAAATCCCAAGTCATCAGAACAGAAAGTTAACAGTAGGAAATAATCAATTTGCTTTATTCTGATAGGTTCATGGTACCCACAGATCTATACAGAAGCATTTGCCTTACTTAATGTTTCTTCATTTTAGCATATGCTTAGGGAAATTTTGTAGGTGATACTGCTTAGTTGTGTGGTGCTGTCTTGGGGTTACTGCTCAAGTATTGTGTGATTCAGACAGGTCTGAGAGTTCTGAGAACGTGACTTCGTGCTGTGCTCTGGTGTGTATGTAGTTATGTATATGGTGTATGTTAGTGTAACTGAGCTACTGCTGCCTTCCTGCTTCCCATCACCTACACTGGACATTTCAAAGACATCAGCTGTAGTGATCTTAGATCTGACTTCTAAAAGGAAACTATAACTTGTCACTGTCTTGCCTTGCCCTCTTCTCCCACTCTTTTCACATTATGGTTATACCTCGGAGTGAAGAAAGCAGTGGAGAAACTTTCTGGTGACTGAAATTTTCTACTTGAATTGCATAGTAATTAAATCACACTGAAGACACAATATAGTATTGTATTTGTTTTTCCTCATTTCATTCAATATAATTTATCATTTTCCCCTCTTTCCTGCAGCTCTCAAGAGACAGAGTTTGTACAGCAGCCCTTTCAGTGCAGTCAGTTATGCGAGCTCCTACAGTCCTAATACTGGTAGCCCCTACAGCAGTGGCTTCAACTCTCCCTCCTCAACACCAGTGAAATCTGCTTTAGTGAAACAGCTCATACCTCCTGGTACCTCAGGTAAGTCACCGTGTTCCTGGTCTTTTCCTTTCTTCCTCCTCTTCTTTCACAAATGTGCTCAAATAGACAACATTTGTATTGACCTAGAGTAAGAAAGACTCAAGAACTTTCCAGTGATTTGTAGGATGTGTGCATCATACAGTTTTAAGCTTTTTAGGAAAGGCTTTTTTTACATTCTTTCTGGCATGAGAAACATGTAAAATGTTTTCTTTGGGTGTCTATGTGCCAAAAATTACTGATGTATGTGATTAGCAGTTAGACCAAAACACCAGAGTTCATTCTGTGGAGTTCCAAGTGGCTTCTGGAACTGACCCGGTAATTGACAGGGGTGTAAGTTCCATGGTGGGTGTTTAAAGGTTAGGGGTTGGTAGTTGTGAAGTCTTTTCAACTATCCTGTTGTTTGCTAACTGAAATGTTTGGTATGCAGTGTATCCATCAATACCTCTGAGATGTGAACAATACAATATAAGGAAGAAGCATGCATTCTAGTTAAGTATTCCATGAGACTTTGTAGCCATCAGTGTAAACGTTAACTTCTGATTATGCTTTCTAATTTTATTCTGCACTGTAGACACTTTTCTTTGCATGAAAAAAATTGTTGCCTGGAACGTATTTCTGCTCTGGCTTATTGCATATCATTTAAGTTAGCTTACAGAAAAGATGAAAAAACATTGCAGTGACAATCCAGCTATCACTAGTTCACTGTGGACTTTTACTGAAACCTGCACTACATGAGAGCCATCACTCGGTTTTTGGTTTAATCTTGGTAGCTTGGTGCTACAATGACATGTCTGCCTGGGGGACAGAGATCTAACAGGCAGTGGGAGGGCAGAAGGCAGCAAACAGAGAGAGTTTTTCCTTGTTATGGTTTCCATGTTTAGCAAAGGTGTGTATGTGCAACAGGTAGTATCTTCAGATAAAGTATATTTTAAGCATTCCAAACTGAATCAATAGTCATTGGATCAGCAAAACATTATTGTTAGGAAATATCCAGTCAAACTTATTGCTTACAAGGTAGTATACAGAGGTGAGAATGAAAACACAGATGGAACCGGGTATACACTTGCTCTTTTTGTAGAGCTGTCCAAAATTCATAGCAGTTGGGACATGCTATGATAGACCAAATTATTTGCCACTAGTTTGTTTTGAGACTATTGCAATGATTTTATAGAATTGCTTTTTAGAAGGTAATGGCTGAGATGTGCTTTTGTAAGTTACATTTGCAATATAATAATCAAATGTTTCAAATTGTTTGCCAGATCAATGTCTCAGTGGCAATTTCTTCAGACTGGTGGCTTTTACTAGGAAAGGAAATGCAGCTTACTTTTTTTTTTTTTTTTTTTTTTTTTTTTTTTTTTTTTTTTAAAGTAACAACAATTCCTGTTACTTTATTTTGTTTCCATAGGTCATCTTAAAATTTCAGGAGATAGAAATCCTCCGCTAAGTCCACAGTCTTCTCTGGACAGTGAATTAAGTGCATCGGAGATGGATGAAGACTCTATTGGGTCTAATTACAAGTTAAATGATGTTACAGATGTGCAAATTTTAGCACGAATGCAGGAAGAAAGTAAGTGGGGTTTTTTTCCTGAAATCAAAATAGAGCTGTTGTGTTGGGTTTTTTTTTAATAACTGCAGTAGCACTTGTTTAGTAAGCATGGAAAAGCAGTATAATTTCTACTGTGGATGTACAAATGTAATTTGCCCAAGAAAGCTGTTAAGGACTTCAGCCTCCAGGCTAAGGAAAGGAAGTTGCTGTGCAGAAGTTTTCTTTAGGAACAATGGACAAGACAATGCTGGAGAGAATGAATTTGTAAGGTACAGTATTTGCTAAAAGGATGATTGTTAGAATGGACTACTGCCTGCCACCATTCTTCTCAGGAGACTGGTGTCTTCCTGATGTAATCCAGTCTTGTTCACATCAATGCTTAAACCATAATTTAAAACACCAAAGTGTAAAGTCAATAAGGCAAATAATTATTAAGAAAAGTGCCTATATAGATGTCTGTCATTATAGCTTTATAGCTTTAGTTGAGACTTTATGTCCTTCTGAATTTGTAGAAAGTGGAAATAATTTTGACTGTCTAACTAGATGGTCTTCAGACTACTGTGTATCCTTATCAGTGAAAAAAACCAAAACCAAATGCCCAATGTATTTACTTTTTAATAAATTATAGATGTGTATTACTCTAATGTATAACATACACAAAAATACACAAATATACACAAAATTATAGTTTAAAAAACCATGAGAGAAAGGCATGATAAATGCCACTTTTAAAGACACTAGTTAGTCAGAATTTTCTTGCTGTATGCCAGTGGATTGGTTTGCTTATCCCCAGGGTGTGGGCACCACGCTTCAGAGACCACTGATCTGACACCTCCAGTTTCTCTAGGAGTAGCTTATTGTGTTGCTTTTTTGGTTGGATTCACTAATACATTGCAAGAGACATTTCATTGTGGCTGCTTTAATTGTTATAGGATGTTACTTAATACCAAAATTATGAGGTAGCCTGTGTTGCTAGTTGCAGCTTTGGGAGAGGAGATGAACAAATGCATACACAACAGACCAATATGCATGATTCCTTGACTAGGAAAAGGAATGAGCTCACCTAATTGAAGTCATTATTAGATGGTAGATAACTTTTTGGTACTAATCAGAATTTATTTAATGCCTCCAATAACAGGAGTTAAGGTGAGCCAAATTTGAGAGCTGTGAAGGTATCTGTGGACACTATCTCTAGTTTGAACCATTTGTGGGCTGGAAACAAGTAAACAACATTCTTGTTGTTGCCAGGCTTGCGGCAAGAGTACGCAGCCACCACTTCTCGGCGTAGTTCTGGCTCCTCTTGCAATTCCACCCGGCGAGGCACGTTCAGCGACCAGGAGCTTGATGCACAGAGCTTAGAAGATGAGGAAGATGGCACACATCACACAGTGCACCCTGCTGTTAGCAGGTTCTCACCATCACCTCGCAGTTCTCCCTGGCCTTCACCAAAACAATCTCCAAGAAATTCACCTCGCTCCCGATCACCTGCTCGAAGCATAGAGTACAGTAGAGTGTCACCACAGCCTATGATTAGCCGTTTACAGCAACCTCGTCTTTCGCTTCAAGGCCATCCTACAGACTTGCAAACTAGTAATGTCAAAAGCGAAGGTAAAAATCTCTTTGAAATTCATTACATGAGTAGTTGTATAGTTTCTGTAAAGGAGTTTTGTCAGTGTGCAGTCCTAAAACTATGTGGCTGTGTAACATTGTGGTTTAATCTCTGAATTGCTGAAGAAAACGCAGAGCAAGCAAAGCTTAAGTTCTGCTGGGGCACCCTTACAGTCAGATGAGTTGATAGGCTTATATTTATTTTAGATGTTATCCAGTCAATGAGTATAATTGAGTTTCATAGTGACCAAGGTCTATATTTGGCAGGCAAACACACTAAAATAAAGCAGGGAAGCTCATTTACTAGTAGAGTTAGACCTTGCAGATGGCAGAACAAAATGCAGAGGAAAGTAACTGTGGTCAGATAAGAGTAACATGGCGATTTATACATGCCTATGGCCTGTGAGACAGCTGAATGCTTTCTTCTGGTTGCACAGGACTCTGAAACTTTTCAATCAGGAACATAGTCTTAAAAATATTAGTCCTTAACTCATGCATTTGTTGGATATTTTAGATATCTCAAAGCTGTGAAAACTGCTGTGTAATAAATAAAGTTTGAAGTAAATTCAATGCAGTTATACTATATTGGCATAGAACAAAATAATATAATCCTATACAACTTTTCTTCTTGAATGTACTTTTTCCTAGTAGCAATCTAGCAGAAACTCCTTTTACTGGGATGAAATTTTGCAAGCATGTTCCCATTTCAACAAACATAGTTTTTATCCAGCAAGTAAGATTTTAAATTTAGAAAGAATATACATTTAGATATTAAGAATTCCCCTTACTAGTAATAGTGGCTTGGGGAAATTTTAGGTATCTAGAAAAATGTGCAACACAAAAGCTAATCAATTATATCGTAACTTAATTAAGAATTTCTTTCCTATTGAGGTCTTAAAATGAAAGTCTTAATCCGTGCTAGATGGGCTGCAATAAAAATATCTTAAGAGAGGAATGGTACCAAAAGCTAGTATCCCACATACCAGACAGATCAAAATAGAGTGTGATCGTGCATTTCTGAAGCACTTCCAAGTAGTTATCTTGCAGTGGTTTCTGTGCAGTTGAGTGTTGCTTGGATATTCAGAGTTGATACAGCAGCAGCTAAAAAAAGTTGTTCAGGTTTTCTTTTTTTTTTTTTTTATCTTATTTGTCTAGAATGGTTGGAGGGAAATTTGGTTGACAGGGTTCAACAATGTACCAAGTGCATAGCAAAGGAATGCAAACTGCAAAGTGAAGAAAAGTACACTTGTTGGAATATTCAGCCAATGAAGACTTAGTTTTGTTTTCACCTTTAGTGCTTATGCATGGTTAACCTACTTCTTCACTGCATCCCTCTGCAGAATCAGGTTGGCCACTCATCCTGTCAAGGCATCTTCAGTCTTCTATCCAAAGTATGTCATCAACCCAGCTCTGCAATCTCTGCAATCTGGGTTGGAGATACATAGAATGTCATTAGAATTGAGAAGTACTTAATGGCATCTTTTCCTATTCTGTGAACAGTGGTACAAATATTAGAAGGCCCCTGAAGTATCAGCATTAGCTGAGTAGATGAGTCAAGTCATATGTGAAATATGAAGCATAACTGGACACTTCAATAATTTTGAACGCTGTGTATGAAGAGGTCCTTTCCAGAGGTATCTGTTTTTTGTTGTATAATGGACTGATATGGGACAAGGCAGTCTCCAAAATTTACTCAAACATCTATGTTGTCTTTGTCTTCAGGCAAGCATTTTGTTACAAATAACTTTCTAAGTGAATAATTTGACAGCTGTGCAAAACTGCCAATTAGGTTTGTCTGTTCAACTTTGATAACAGTACAATAAAACCCAGAGAACCACAATCCAGATATGTTTCACTTTCAAAACACAATATGCTTGACTTTTTTCACCATAGATGAAAAATGTACATTCTTACTTTCTTAGATACATAAATATTTTGTATGTGATAGATTTGAGAAGAAGTAATGTAACAAAATACACTTTTAAACTGCAGTGTAGTTTTATATATCTAACATTTTGTGTCACTTACATTTGGGGTTCAACTACGGGTTCACAACGTGACCTTTGTCCAGCATCAGACTACACATTGTGGTATCTTTGTATTATTTCGTGCAGAAAAACTAAGGCGTAGTCTTCCAAACTTGTCCAGGACATCTAACATCCAAGCCGAGTCTGTGAAAAACAGCAGAAGTGACTCAAACTTCCAAGTGCCAAATGGAGGAATACCTCGCATTCAACCTCAAGCCTCAGCCAGTAAGTACCTTTAATACTACTTTAGTGTAAATTTCAGAATTAAGTTATGGTATTTGGCTGTCTTCTGAAGTCTCAGGGCAAAACAAAACATTGTTTGCCATACTGGAGATGCTAATCTTCATTTTTAATCAGACTTTTGTGAATCTGTTTTTATGGTACACAAAATACTTGGAAAAGTCTGGTTTCTTATTAAGGTATCATTCATCGTCTCCTAAAAATTTATGTAGCAGTAATATGAATTATGAATAGAGTATTTGGGAAAACAGTCTAAAACTGTTTTCTTGATAGGCTCTTAAAAAAACACCTAAATGATGTTTATTGCTTCTTTTTAAACTAGTGAAACATGACCTGAAAGGGGGTTTATTTCAGTTTAACCCTTTAAGTTAACCCATTTCTGCAGTTCTGCAGTTTCTTTCCTCTTTTTTTTTATTTTTTTTTGGCACATGGGTTATATATCCAGTTGGCAGTCTTATTTAAGTGTCAGTTACTTCCTAAAAAAGTTTTGGATGAACCTGTGTCTCATAAAACATATTAGCCCATTGCTGGACTCCTACTTTCCTAGTTTCTCCAAAAGTTAATTGCTGATATGAAAATGCTGCTATTCTCACAAATCTCTTGAAAATGGTGACCCTAAAGAAGCCAAAGCAAATAAAAATTAAATATTCAGTGTTTCTTTATATGACAGTATTGCCAGTTCCTGTTGTTTAAACATTTCCTAACCTTTTAAAGCAGGTTTCTGAATTTTATAACTTTGTGTGACATTTTCAAGGGAAGAACACATGATGAATATTTTTATGTGTAGAGCTTTAAACTGTAAAAATTCTGTGATAAAGGTTCATCAGTAATCTAAATATTTGACAGGAAATGTAAAAATAATGTTTGTGAATTTAACTAGGAGTATTTTACCTATAGAACAGTAAAGGCATAGTGGCATACCTAGCTGGTTGTCTTAAAACTTTCAAAACAATGTGTTAAAGCTTCCAAGTATACTTAAATACAGAATAAGGAATAGAGATCAAGCCAAAGACTCCAAGATTTCTGTGTTTGTACAGACTCAGAGCAGATGTGAGGATTGTGTGGACAGTCACTCCCAGGTGTGTTAACAGTGTAGTAGATAGAAGTTAGTGTGACTTTACTGTTCTCGTGTAAGTTACTCCAGCATCCTTGCACCTTGGCCTTCTTCTTCCACCTTTTTCAGACATTTAGAAGGTGGGATTTCCAGCTGAAAGGATGTTTGTGTAGTTCAAATGCACGACTGTTACCTGTTAGGCAGCCTTATCAAAGTGTAAAGTACTCAGAGTAGTTAGACAACTGGTTTACAGCTGTGCTGTTTCAGAGATAGGAAGAATTATCAAAATGAGCTGAAAGAAAATTAACGAAAAAATATTTTTAGTAAAAATATCTACAGATTTTATTTGGTGCTTTAGAATTGAGCGAACTGGGACAGGAAAAGCATACAGAGCAACTTAGCTAGAAGGCTATTTCCAGAATTAAAAGTACATTCATGGTTAAATTTTCTGGAAAGATGAGACAACAGAAGTCTCAGTATTCAATATTTAGTCAATTATTTCATTGCAGGAGCAAAAGTGGTCTGATTGTGTTTATATTTCTTTTTTTTCAACTTGCGGATGCATTAAGAATTACTAGGTAAATTTGCTTTTCTTTCATAGACAATTTCCCCAAATGTGAACCACTCTAGATCAACTTACATTTGAATGTAAGTTAAATATCATTAATAAAGGTCAGATTTCTAGCTTTTACAGTTTCCCTGCTCTTACAGATGTTTGTCAGAGTCTTGCTATTGACAATCGTAAAACGGTTTGTGTGTGAAGTCAATGAGTAAGTATCTTTGCTTAGTCTGGATTAAAAAATTTTCTGCAATACTGTACATTGTATAACGATTTCCAGAATTGTGTCCTTTTTATTGTATACTTTTTATTTCATTGGTTTTATATTTTGTCACTTTGCACAAAGCACTGTTAAATCACAGCAAATTTTTGTTTTCCCTTGGCAATGATTTCTGGGTCTTGGGATTTGAAGCTTCCTCATACACCTGCTAGTTTTGCATGAGCTTACCTTTGCGAGGATGCTGGCTTGCCACCCGAGGTCACTACTTTGCTCCTTGTCAAAGATTTGCGGTTCATAATTTACTTGCACATTTGCTGTGGCTGCAATACTGAACTTGCTATGGTTGCTGGCATTCAAAAATGAGCTAGGAATCCAGTAAGTTTCTGAAATGACAATTCCTCTTACAGTTTTATAGCCAAATTGTATTTGCTTGCTTACAGAAGAGAGGGAAGACACATATGATGTGTTTAGAGGTACAACTGTAAACATGAAAACATTGGCATTTTAACTTTTAGCTGCAATGTGGTGAACAATCCAAATTGGTTTTGAAGAGACATTGAATTAAAAAGCAATTGTAACAATTTGAATCTTAATTTACATCTGATTTTCCATGCCATTCTGCAGAAAGTACTTTTTTTTTTAATATGAAAGCTAGTACATATTTCACTTAAAACACTAGAACATATGGTAATGTGTGTGTTCCCCAAGGAATAGGTATTGTTTAAAGTGTTAGTGATGGGAAATCTCCTTGTTTGGATCCTATACCACATAGATTGTACAAAGCTCTAGAAATTGTAGGGTGACTTCCATGTAAGAGCTACCTGCTTTTGGATTCTGTGTGATGCTTTTGTACGTAGTGGCACTATGAGCACATGGATGCTTTTAAGAAGAGCTAAATACAAAACCTTCTCGAAGAGCTGTAGATTCTTCAAACTGTCAGTGAAGTGACTGATCTGCTTGCCAAGATCCAACTGCTTGGTCTGTTCAGAGTAAAAGGAGGAAGAGTAAGTTTTGAAGAAACCAAGTAGTGCAGTTCTGTTGATCAGAAGTAAATGTGACTACATGTGTTCAGCAGGCAGCAGTTGTGACAGGTAATGTCACGGCACACAGAGCACTTCAAGAGCAGCAAGTGGTGTGGATAAACATGCACTGGGTGCTTATCTCAAACTGCATGTTTGCTCAGCATTGCTTAAATTGTACTGCCTAAGCTCTGTTCAGTGTTTCAGTCCACAGAAATGTTTTGCTATTGTCTATTTCCTGGAGTCTCCATTGAGAAGGAAGGAATTTGATATATGCATATTTAAAATCCTTTCCACATTATCCCATCTCTCTGACTTGCAAGAAGTGTGAATAATGATGGGGGAAGAAAGTGCCATGTGCAGTAGCATATTGAAATCTGAGCAGATTAGGAAAAAACAAATTCAAAATATGAAGGAAGAAGCTTTTCTTCATTTTGTGTGGTATAACAAAAACAGTGATTCAGTAGAAAATAATGAAGTGGAATACTTGAGGACTGAAGCAGTCTGGCCAGTGGTCTGCCTCAGTAAATTTCTAGGAATTGTACTCATATTTAGAGACCTTACTCTGCTTAATTGGCTGTTCATATGTATGCTTTTAAAAAAGTTTCTAGGAAGACCATGTGCCAGTTGAGTAAGAATTACATATTGCCACAGGCTATTTTGCATTAGATTCTAGTTGATGGAAGGAATAAGGTTTTTATTAGTAGTAGGCACAGGCAGAATTTTACTGTGTTTATGAACAAACTAATTCCTTTTTCCTGTTTGATGAACATGACACTTAAAGTTAGTTATTAGGACTAAATTGAATAGACTGCCTAGTCATAATTTCAGCATGATATTAAAACACATTATGAATTTTTTATAGTTCATAAAATTCTATGTATTTTGCACTGACTGAAGCATAGGAAAGGTGATAGTAATCATTATATGCTATCAAACAAAAGGATTAACTAATTCAAATTGTTCCCCTCCCCCCTTCTTTATAGCAATATTCAGTAATTTGTGATGGGATTATTCCTTACTCAGGGTCAGGATCTTTTTGCACAGCTGTTCCCCCATCTTTCTTCCTTCTCACTATGGAACTAAGCCTTGCTAGTGCAATCAGTTTTATGCTGGTATAAAACTTCATACACTGAGATAAGCAGAGATGTTTATTCATACATTATAATTTCATGAAGTCTCTGTGTAGTCAAAGCTTTATTTCATTGACTACTTTCCTCCTTCTCCCCCTTAAATGTGCTGCAATGGAAACAGGCTGAGTCAATGCATTCCTTCTGGCAATAAGTAATTCTCTCCCATGCCAAGATTCTGCAGCTCTTGGAACATTGGCTTCTCTCTTGGTAACTGGTAGGTAGTGAGGTCATTTCAAGGCAGTATCAGCCCTTGAATGTTACTGGATAAAAGGCAGGACAAGGGAGAAAAGGAGCAATAAAAACCAATTTCCATCATGCTGGGTACATGCTGGCAGTTGATAAATCTTAAAAGTGTTAAGTCTTCATTTTAAGCTTAAGTCTTCTTGCATTTGAAGAGGGGAGAAAAAAGACATCTCTCAAGAAGGCTTAATTCTCCACAGCTGAAGAATACTATTTGTTTATATGATGATCGTATTAGAGAAATATTTATGCTTTTGTATAGTGTTAGAATATCTTTTTAAAAACACTTTTAAAATGAAAAATTTAGTCTTGCTAGGTCAAATACAACAGTTTAATTTTCATCTATATCTAATCTTGCTCTCATATTGCTGTAGCATGTTTGCTAGGTGGCTTGTTCTCCCTTTGGTGTTTTAATTTTTGTTTTGCATTTCTGGGCTTTTTGCCCTGCAAGAAGCTTTACTCTTACCAAATCTGCGCATTTTGCACCGCAAAATTTCTGACACGCTACTGTGCAACTCTTTGCCATTAAGAGCAAGCACCATTGACAAAACTCCATCACTTCCAGAGTCATGGCAGCTTTTTGAGTGTTCTACTCACACTGTTCCTTGATGCTTCACAAGTGGATACAATTCTGAAATTCCCAGTAAATTTAGTTTTCTTATCTTCTTAGACAAATATAACACTTCTTGTCTTTCAACAGCTCTGCAAAGGCAGAAAAATTTGCCTCGTGCTGCCTTCAAAACCAAACAGTTTCTTCAAACTCCATCTACAAAAGGAGGTAATTAACTTACAACCTCTTGTCAAGCTCCAGCAAATCTCAGATAATGGTTCACCTGCATTAAATCTCACATGTTCTGGATTAATAAACTTGCTCTTGCAAGTACTGTAGAAATTAACCAAGTGGTCCTTGATGTATGAAAGTTATCTTCTTGGTCTAAATATTGAAAATAAACTCTGTGTTATATAGGAGATTGAATTTTGAGGTAAAAATCCAAGGAATGGTGACTTACTAACATTAATCAGGAAATACAGATTAAAAAAGTAGACTCCTAAATACATATTCACTAGGCCTATATTTGTATAGGAATTTTTTAAATAGAAGAATACAGTTTTAAAAACAGAAATTGTAAAAATACTCATAGAACCCTTTGTGCTGGGAACAAAAGCTAACAAATTTATCCTTGAAAAGATGAGTGTAGACTATCAACTTATTTTGCATGTACTTGGGCTTTCCCTTTTCCTAACAAAACCAGAAGGTTAATCCCAACATAGATGAATTAAGATTTTTTGACTCAAGGAATTAGAGACTCTTGTATATAATATTCCAGTTTGCTAATGGCTGAACTTGACTTTACACTTGAGACTAATTCATAAGCTTGTAGATGCTAGAATCTTTCAAGTGTTGTGAGAGTCATGGGTGCAGACATGAGGGGCTGACAGAATGCACGTGTTTCTCTTGGGGCTTTAACAGTGCCAACTCCTTAGAGTCATCTTCATGCCATGCAGAAAGTTTTAGCAAAGTATGATGCCTGTGAAACAGATTCACATGTCTTAAGAGGAAGTCTCTTAACAGTTTTCATGCTTCATACCAGATAAAGTTCTCACAATGTTCTGCTTTGCATAAGACCACCATCACTATTCCTCTGCAGAGCTTTCTTTGCTTTCTTTCCAGTTGTCCATGTCCTCCTCTGGATGTCTGGAACACTTATTAAGTCAATGGCTGAACCTGTAGGAATGTACAGAAAATTAGTTGTTCTTAGAGTTTATATTATTTGCAAAAATTTATTAAACCTTAGAGAATGAGGAACAGAGCACATTGCACTGCCAGTTATATATTCCAGTTTATGGCTGTTGTCATTCCTTACTGCAAATGAAGACTGGTTCAGTTACTTGCTTTGTCTTTCTCAGTTATTTGCTATTTTATAGTCCTTAATGTGTTGGTTTTCTTTCTTCTGATCTGAGATCCTCATGAGTATAGAAATATTTAACAGTAATGAAGCAAGACTTTCCTTTCAGAGAAATTAACAACTGAGCAACAATTGATTTTACCTTCTTAAAATACTGTTCATTACATAGCTTGGCACCTTTCACACACGTTGGCTTTTTATTATCATCACTTTGTGGTAGCATCTCCCCAGCACCTTCTCTTCTCCAGGTTGAGAACCTCCACCTCTTTCCAGAGAGAGGAGACACACTCATCCATGCTCTGTACCTGCTCCAGCAGGTCCACATCTTTCCTGTACTGAGATGACAGATCAGTTTACTTATTCCGATAGTTAGAATTCATCTCTTCTTTCATGTTGGGCTGATTCATCTCATCATAATGGTTGTGATTTAACAACTGCATTAGAATTTAATCTGTTTTCAAGTTGGTGTGCAGCAGCTGGCCTTGGAGTGCAAGCCAAATAAGTTTGCAGCTTCACAGCACCCTACTTTGCTACATGGAGATCTCGTGCTCTGTGCCCACAATCCAGGACAGAATCCAGAGAGGGTAGGACATCTAAATGTCATAACTGCACATGCCTTTTAATTTTCCTTTTTTCTTTTTTTTCTTTTTTTTTTTTTTTTTTTGGCTGACAGATGTTTTAATTGTAGCTGTTTCTAATTTATTTTAAAAGGAGATTGAGTTGTGCAAGGTTATTAAGCACTACCCTTACATATTTACATGTTTTTACATGTTTTTGTTAAAGATGGATCAGCTAAATCCTCTACATGGTTACACCATAGTTATCAAATGGTCTGTGAGGCAGTACCTCAGTCTTTGTGATTCTGTCTTACAGATAGGCCAAACTAACTATAATGAATATCCAAAACTGCTCTGAGACCAAATTCTTTATCTGTAGAACAGAACTATTAGGCAGTTTGCCAGACTGCATCATGTGGGCTGCTCTGGAAGACAATTCATTCCCTTGTGCACGAAAATGAATATAGCTCTCAGCAATGTCTGCAATGCTGTGCTGACAGGAAATGTTTTATGAATTGACAGCTCAAGTTTGCAGCATGGTAAAATATGGCCAGCAGAAGGTTAAAGAGGATGGAGAAGACTGATTTACTGGATCCTTACTTCTGCTGGAAATGCGAGCAGCTTTCTTCTGTTGCAACTTTTTGTTGCTTATATTCTGTACCTAAAAACCTTTTCCTTGTTGTGCCTGTAAGAGGCCCAAAGCTGTATTCAGTTTTTATACACTGGCATTGCTCTGTTGGTAGCTGTTAACATGGTACTGTGTTTGTGTTCCAAGCATTGTAATGAGAAGTTCAGTGATAAAAGCTCCCAGAATTTACACTGCAGAGCCACTTGGAAATTCTGCAGATTTGATTGCAGTGTTGTTAACAGGCGAGGTCACATTTTAAAAACTTACATATAATCTATCTTAGTCCTAGGAGCACTTGGATGCTCTTCTTGTCCAGTCATTCTGTTGGTAATGCTTTCCTTAATCCATACTCTGGCTTGATGCCAGCTTTTATTTTAAGGTTTTTTACTTAATCTCCCTGCCACTTAGCAACTGTCATGTGTTTTTGACCTCTCTGTCACCTTTTCTTGTCAGCTTTTCCCATGAGCAGCTTCATGCTGTGTTTGATATTGCTGTCAGGGGAAAGGCCCCCTTGGGTAATCCAGAAAGGAATCAAATCCAATTCACATCTGTAATGAGGTACATATTAATCTTCCTAGACATCCCCTATAAGAAATGGCTTCAGAATACAATTTCAAAATTACCAGTTCCTCTGTACCCCATTTAGGATGCTACATTCCTGCATTACCCGTCTCCTTTCTCACTTCTCGTGTTCTTACTGGATCTACCTTTAAAATTATAATAAAAGCTGTGTTCAAGACCAGCTTATGCACAACATCTGTCAAAAACGATGCAACTTTGGTCTTAGTATAAAACATTTATTTAGTAGAGGAAAGAACAGTTAATGCAAATTTACTCAATGTAAAACATGTTTTTGTTACGTGATTGATTTGATCATCCTGTGTTGACTCTTACTGATGCACCCTAATAAGTTTGAAAAGCTGGTGAAATTTCATTCCATTACTAAGATTATGTGTTAGTTTAACTATTCTGTTCAGTGATAAATTATGCATAATATATAAATATTCCTCAGAGTTGGGAAGAATTATGCTTAAGGTTCGGCAGTATTAAAGGACTGTTAAATATTCTGTCTTACTAATGTATCTCAGAAAGGACTTGATAACAAAACCTTGCATACTAACTTGGGTACAAAGAAAATAGGTGTTAGTTTTACTGATAATATAGGTAATGTTTGTAAGAAGAGGAAGGCTATAAATTGTTAAGAGTTGTCTGGTTTAAGTTTCATAGCAGCACCTTAAACTCTTTGGTACTGGGGGTTGGCAGACGTCATCCTTAATCCAAACTACAGCATTAAAGCAGCTCCTAGGAAAAAAATTAACTGTATCCCAGCTGAAATCAGGAGAGCTAACCCCATCTCTTTTTTCCATCTGCCAGAAAATGTGGGATGTAACTATATCTTCAGATGAATTCTAATTCAGTGGTTAAAAAAAACAGCATAAAAGAAGTACCAAGATGCTTTAAGCTCAAAATTCCATCATTGAAGACTAATACAGACTTTGAATCTGTTTAAAGCCTGTGTCACACTAGAATACTGTATTCTTCAACATGTTCTTTTGTGGATATGAATTAAGTTCACATGTTTCTGAAGCAGTTAAATTTCTTCTTAAGCTTTCTTCTCTATTTGTTTTGACTTAACTGATACAACAGTTACAGCCTGATTAGGATTACTTACAAATATAGATAAATATTTGTAGTCAGCAAAGAGGGCATTAGAGTTATGATATCAAAAACACATGACAAAGAGGACATCTGAATTCCTGTTTCTCATTGCTGCTTGATTGGCTGTATTCCATTATACATTCCATATTGTTTGTATAATCACATAAAGTAGTTTCCAGTTTTTAATTTCTGTAATATTGTAAGGTAAGCTGAAAGTAATTTCTGTATTTTCCAGTACCTTCTTCGAGCAAATTCCGCTCGCCTGCGGCACCGTCTCCCTTAGCTCTCCGACAGCCAGTGAAAGCGTTCAGTGCCCATGGGCCGGGCTCGGTCGCCTCTCCAGAAGCCGCACAGCTGACGCACAGTAGTTCTTCACCAGGGCCTCTTGCAGCCCAGAGCTCAGGCTTGCCGAGCCCTGCCAGCAGTATTAACAGCACTACTCTTACCAGACCAGCAGGGATGAGGAGTGGTTTGCCCAGACCCAGTGCCCCTTCCACAGGGGGCATCCCAGTGCCTCGTAGCAAACTTGCACAGCCTGTTCGCAGGTGAGTCGCTGACAGGTAGTCTTAGGTTGAAGTTTTCAAAATTAATTTTGTTCGCTGTGTATTTGTGCTGCTTCTTCTTGCAATTGTTATTTTGATCTTAAAGTTTTCAGAACAAGAGACCTCCATGTGAAGTATTTCCAAAATAGTTTGGAATCCAAACTGAGAGATAAAGGTTCTTTAATGAGAGAGTGAAGGTGAATGAGTGAAAGTGGAATCGGTAATGGAAGATATTGAACTAAGTAAATAAAATCTTAGTCTCGGCTGAGAATGCAACAAAAATTTGTCTGCATGGTGTAAAAAGTTACCAAAATATAGCTGGCAAGAGAAAATTCACTTGTGTGAGTGACACATTCTGAAGTCAGAACTGCTTGCCTCCATAACTTGCCTCCAAAAGCAATAGTACATGGTGAAAGTAGTTTCTCTCCTTGGGCAGCTGGAAACTTCCAGAAGGAAGATGCACCAAGACATATATAGCACTTGCTAAATTTAATGTAAAAATCACTCCAGTTAACCCACAGGATGAAACATAATTTTTAGCTTAAACATAACTGTGCTAGCACCCAACTATAGAAGTTGCTTGATGTCAGTGTCTTTTCAAAAACTACTGCAAGAGAGACTGAATTTTAGCTGTGAATGTCAGTTTTCACTGAAGGTGTTAAGTGGAAGCTAACATAAGGAAGCAGTCATCCATGAGAAGTACCAACAATCTCCTTAAACGGAAGGGAAAAACAATTAGTCTGTAGTACTGTAAAAAAGATGAAATGGTGGTAAATAGCAGAGTGGAAAAGTTCTGTTCTGCAGCAAGTGCTAGGCAGGGGAATGACAAGCAACTGTCACAGCACTGACTTTTGTGATTAAAGCCTGCACTGGTCAGCAGTACAGAACTCTGTGTAATAAAAAGCAGTTCTTTCACCAGGAGTTTGCTAATAGTAGTGAAGTGTGGTTGTCCAAATCACAGCTTGTCTTAAAGTGTTTCACTTACTAAACTTTTTTTAAACTAGCTTTTAATTTTTCTTTTTTTAAGTTTGCATATATAGGGCAAAGGGAAACAGCCCCAGCTGGCACCAGAGGAGGTTTAGATTAGGTAACAGGCAAGATCTTTTCACCAAAAGGGTTGTCAAACATTGGAACAGGCTGGCCAGGGAAGTGGTGGAGTCATCAATCCTGGAGATATCTGAAAGATGTGTATATGTGGCATTTTGAGACATGGCTTGTGGTGGCCTTTGCAGTGCTGAGTTAATGGTTGGACTTGGTGTCCTTACAGGTCTTTTCCAGCCTAAACAATTCCATGGTTCTATAATGCAGACTCTGTACACAGTGCAATAATCAAGTTTCTACAAATGTCAGATGTTGATGTAAGCGAATGCAATACTCTAAATGAGGATTTGTCTGTTTATATGCATCACTGAAAAAATGGCCCATTTTAGGTGGAAGCAGATTAAGTTTGCATTTTTACAGAGTATAATAGCAATAAGTTTTCTGTCTGTTTATTTATTTGGCTTTTTCCTGGCGTGGTAGTTGCCAAGATACAACACATGAAACTTAAAACTGAAAATACTGTAGGGTTTATCTTAAGTAAATGGTATTGCAGAGAAGTAAATGAATGAAGTGTATATTTCAGTTATTCATAAAATGTTTAGATTCTTATGTATTGTAGATAGAGACTTCAACAGTTATTTATGAAACTGAAAAACATCTCATTTCATTTTAGATCATTACCCACTCCGAAGACATATAGCAACGTGAAAGATGAGAGTTGGAAAGATGGCTGCTACTGATCTGCACAGCTCAATGCAGAGTTCCAGTGCTCATGGATACTTCCTCACCAGGCGAAAAGACAGCTTGATTAAACAAACTGTTCAGATGTGACTCTTGGAATTTGTAAAAATTCCAAACCTCTCTGTCTCTAATTAGCACAAACTGGCAGAGATTATTATAAAGCAGCACTTTAATGACATCTAACATCAGATGTTTGGTGGTCATACAATCACTTCTACATTAAATTGCTATCAGTTCTGGGGGCTTTTTTATTGCTTGCTAAAGATGTTATCAATATGAGCATTTATGAGAGTGGCCAATGTTGGGGCAAAAATGAATGAATGCCAAAGAAATGCCCATCTTGAAAAACAGTAAGGACAACTACCAACATACATTATCCACAACTTCATTTTCAGCCTGTTTTAATTCAGCAGAAAGATTGGTGAATATGTACTATTGAAACAAGGCTACATGAATCAGAGCTAATGTTCTGATTGCAGACTGCTACAGTGCTAGGGAAATGTTGCTTTTAACAATTGCATGAGATCCCAGCTGGGACTGGATCCGTCCTTCAGTACTGCTGGAAGAATCAGCAGTTACTCTGGAGGATTAGGTAGAACATGGAGTTGTAGCCATGACTGCTGTCACGTTAAAAGGTTTGAATGTAGCAGACACACACAATGCAATAGTATAGATTGCATCTTTCCTATGTTGATTTACTGGCTTTACCTACTCTTATGTTTGATTGCCAGAAGGGCTTAGTATCAGCTGTACAATCTTTCTAACCTTAAATTCCTGGCTCAGGAAAGATGGCCTTCACTATTGTAGCCACATTTTTAACACATTGGCATGCTATTTGGGGAAAAATTTTTTATAGCAGGTTTCCTTGCAAAAGAAAGAGCAAGTGATAATTTTGATTTGTTCTAAAACCATACCACTATACATGCAGCCTGCAGCAACTGTAAATGCTGATAGTTAAGGAGAAGGAAACACAACTATGCACTTGTAACATACAAATTTTAAGGAAATGAGTTACTCTTGATGCCAAATGATATTCATTTAGGTGATGTTCCATGGTATGAGGGAGTTTTCTGTATCCTATTTTTTTACTTTCATCCATTTCTTAAATTGGTTTATTTTAAATTGTAAATATTTTTACAGAAGATATTGCCCATGTAAGTGTGTTTAAATATGTATTTTGCCTTACATATGTATATCTTACATTACTGGTAACAGAGTATAAAACCTGCTGTGTCTGTTTACAAGCTATTAAACTCCTCTGGTGACTCTGACTCTAATGCATTTTGCTCAGAACAACTGATATATTTAGCATAGAACCATTGTTTTCTTTTCGGAAGACATCATGCAAAAATCTGTAGCTAAAGTTGTATTGAGTGGGACTAGTTAAGTGGAAGGGATTTTATTTGAAGGTTTTTCAGTATTTTGGATGTACAGTTGATGAAGTAAGAGAATGTGAATGGTATATCCTTTGTGCAATGACTGACAAACACTACAAGTCAGATTGGACGGTAGGTACCCTTCAACCCCATTAATAACTGAGTTTGGGACTGCTGGTGGATTTTGCTCCCACCACTAAGAGGATAACTAATCCCGAAATTCCAGTACTTGAATTTTAGGCCAACATTAACATATTCCTGGATGAAAAGCCATGCAATACTACTTGACTTGGAAGAAACCAAATAGGAAGGAGTGGAGACTAACTTGGAACTTAAACTACTCAAGCAAGCTCTGGGTTGATGGGTGACTTCTCACACCAGACCAAGAGCTGTGCTAAGACTTCAAAGTTGGGGTGTCAAATATACTGTGTCAGATTCCAGCAGAAACCACCTTTCACCAGTACAGAGCAGTACGTACCACTAATCTAGCCTTGAGTCACCGCAGGTACAGGGAATGGATGTATCTCACGGCACTGTTCACCAGAAAACAGGACTAGATCAAACGTGCATACTCTCAGTAAAGCCTGAATTTTAATATTTCAGCATTGTACAAATCAATGCTGCAGTCTTCACTGAAGAAAGGGGAATTTAAATGGGTGGATTTTATCAAACCGCTTGACTTACAAATTTTGAAAGTCAGTTTAGGTGACAATATTGGGGTTTTACCATGGCTGCATCAAACGTGTATGTTTCCTTAAGTTAAGTAATTCATCGCTTGGGTAAATTCAGCTTGAGTTTTTTAGGGATTTTCTTCTCTGCTATTCTCCCTGAAATACAGCAAATGACTTCCTGAGAAGACAGACTGTTTGCTAGAAAGCCTTTGTGCATTACCAGTTCATTGATATCAGGAAATCATGGGGCTCTGTGTTTAGAGATTTACTGCAGAATTGTGGAAATATGGATTTGATAAAATAGTGCCTATGATTTACTTAACTTATGTTTGATATAGTAGTAAGGGGTTTATGAATGTGGATTACTTTTTGTGCCAACAGCTTGGAATTGATGTATGTGTGTAGGCAGAAGGATTTATTCTGCTCCCAAAGTTATTTAATTTTTTTTTTGTGTTTGAATGTTTTTGTAAGTGTTAAAAGTGTAAAAAAAATATATAAAATATTCTTACCACAAAATACCTCCTGGATCCTTATTTTTACAACAAAGTGTTTTTAAAAGCTTTTAGAAATTTAGAGGATATTATTTTATGGGGTTTTGTCTGGTTGGTTGGGTGGTTTTTCAAGAGCTGTACTCACTTTTCTAGAAGTTACCAGTTTTGGTTTCTGCCTACTGTAATTCATTAACTGGGTACATCACTGTATTTGGGTGAAATCTGTGATTTCATTGACAGACAGAGGTGGACTTGTGCCTCTGCTCTAGAAGGACCCTGCACAGTTCAGACTTGTATGAGAAACTGTATTCTAAATTTTCATCCAGAGTGAATTGAAGTATAGGGCAGTTTGAAGTATACAAGCCTGCCTTTCCATTTTTCCAGATTTCTACTCACTTCAGACCACCACATGAAACAAAATAATTCTGGAATTTATGCAGAAAATGGAGCCATGTAAAAATATACCTACTAAGCCCTCTTGGAACTGATAAGTACACATTTTCTCTACCTTCTACATGAATGCCTTCATCTTTGGCTCACATACAAGCAATAAGTTAGTTTTGAACTTGGTATTTTTCTGTAATCTGCATTTTGCTATAAAGCAATGGATTCAATAGTAATGTGAATACCATCTTTGTCTTATCTTGGTATTAATAAGGGCAGGTTTAATTCTATTTGGTAGCCACTTAATATTAAATTTAACAAAATTTAAGCTGTAAAACTTCAAATCAATCATTTATCCCAGCATAGTCCCCTATTTTGTAATTAAGCGAGTAGGTTAAAATGTTTCCCCCTAGTTAACTGCCATTTATGGAGAACTGGCTTCAGACCTGCTGCTTCTAATAGGTATTGTCACTTTTTAGTCTGCAGTCAAGTACCATTTGCCCCACTCCTTCAGGAAAGTAGAGCAGTGTCAAAATCTGGTAATTAATAGCCTTTTGCCCTTTTATTAGGTTTCTGTAACAAACTCTCCTATATTAATAATAATCAGTATTATCACCATACTGCAAGACTGAAGATTAGAAATAGTATTTTTCTCAGTTCTCATTATGAGGGAAGGTGTGACAGCTCCTTTGGGTCCTCTTAACATTTCATGTGTGTTCCCCTCTGGAAGCCTGATAGCAGTGGTGAAGAAAATAAAGTTATGAATATCTAAGGGGGCAGAAGGCTGAAAATGTTTATGCGGCTGGTCTTGAGATGGCTGCAGAGTGCACAACTTAATAATTTAAAATTTACTTTTTTATTTCTCGAAGTATTTGCATTAAAACCATGTCAGCAGTATTGTCTGCAGTTCTCCCTCTTTTGATTGGAGCAGAACAAACTTTAGATTTAATGTTTACTTTTTAACTAAAACAGGCAACATGTGAGGTTGCTTTGATTTAAGAAACAAACCAGAAGCCCCACCTGCTCCTGATGTGCATTTATGCCTCTGTGCAGTCCGAGTCTGACACCTACAGGCAGCCTGTCTGTGCTCACTGTACAGCTTCAGGAGGGTGAGGCTGGGATTTGGCTGCTCTCAGGAGCATCCCTGTTTCACACACAACTGACCAGTCAAGAAAATGCTTTTGGCTCTAAGAGTTAAAGGAGCAAATTCCACCTGACTCGCTCTCCACAAGATTTTTCACAACTGTTTCCAGCTGTGATACCACACAGGGTTGTTCTGTGTGTCATTGCCCCTTTGCACTAAATGATAAATTCTGCTGGGACCACGTTAAGCACTTAGAAGGACACAAAACATAACTGTAGTGATTAAGCTGATTTGTACCTCTTCAGCATTGATTTAAAGAATTTAAAGGAATAGGTAGCAAAAATTACTTCTTAACAGCAAAGTAATCTTTTAACTTGGTGCATCATCCACCTGTTAGAAACTGAATTTAAAAAAAAAAAGAGATTTGAAAACTGGAATGCCTGAGATCTTTATGCAATGTGGCACTCCCAGGGGACAGAAGTATACTGTGTATTTCACCAGACTTAACAAAAGAAGATACTTCTATTGTAATCTGAGCTTCTGTCATCAGCAGCATAAGCAGATGGAATCACATTGAAAGACTTCTGAAATCATCAAATTCAACCAAGTGCCATGTCCAATCTTTCCTTCAACTCTTTACCACCTCCCTGGGCAGTGCATTCCAATGTCTAATCACACTTTCTGTGAAGAAAACTCTTATGTCCAAACGCAATCTCCCCTGGCTCATCTTGGGGGCTATGTCCTCTTATCACTGACAGAGAGAAGAGAGCAATCCCCACCTGACTACAGTCTCCTTTCAGGCACTTGTAGACAGGGATAAGGTCTCCCCTGAGCCTCCTTTTCTCCAGGCTAAACACCCCCAGCTCCCTCAGCTGCTCCTTGTGCTAAAACTAGAACACAAGAACTAGAGCTCCAGACTCTTCACCAGTTTCATTGCCCTGAAAGCTACAAAAATAAATGTAAATCCAATTTCTTTCGAAAATAGTTTTAATAGCTTAAACAGTAAATACAGTAAATAATAATTTTAATAACTAGCAATAGTAAAGCTTAAAAGACAGTGGCATGTGATGCCTTCTCCCCCAGCATGTTCTCCCCCTCCTTGCTGTTTGTAAATTATCCCTGAAAGTTTGCTTCCATTGGCCCTACAGTATGGGTGCCTTACTGAGGTGGTGACTTTGCAGTTCATCCCCAGCGCCACTCGGCTGCTGGTTATCATACACAATGCACAGAATACAGACTATATATTCTTCTCCATTCTGCTCTTTTCCATTCTCTTTGCCATGATTTTCTTGGGACTTGGAAAATTGCAACCTTTCACAGCCCTGCTATGACAGGCTGATTAAAAGCTTCACTAGTGCAAACAGTTTGGACTAACATCAGACAAGCCCAAGCCCAGCTCAGACTTCCTCAGCAATAAACATCAGACAAACTGCTGACAGAAGCATCAAACTAATACAGAAGCCTCATACCAGCTACTTCCACTCTCCTCCAGTAGCAAGGCTAGGATTTTTTTCATGGAAACTCTCTACATTATATCAGGAAGGTGAATAAAGACACTTCTGTTCCGCATTGTTCCCCACCTCTGCCCTGCCCAAGAGAAAAAGGTGCTTATTAAATGTGGGAGTAGGTCATCAATGACTTGACTTGGGACTCTCTGGGGCCTTGGCTGCTTAAAGCCACAAATGTGATCAGGAAATAGCTGAGGTGTGATGTGTTGGTGGTGGAAGAGTGGTCAGGGTAGGGGCCTGACATGCAGGGCTTTCCCCAGTCTCCTGCTCTTCCCAGGCACCTGCCTTGGGCACTGACACATCAGCTGCTGGGCTGATCGGGAGGCGCCCTGCTCTGACACCAGCATCACTGCACTGTAACTCCCAGCAGTCTCCTTCTTTTCTCTTACAGCACTCTTCCTAAGTTGTTTCCCTTCAGACACTATCAGCAAACAAAACTGCACAACCCATTTCCAAAGCTCAATTATCCAACTGATCCTTACCTGCCTTTCACTCAGCAGGGTTAACACTGCTGTGCAAATCTTACAGCTGCTGCTGGTCTCTGTGCTGCACATGAGACCACATTTCTCCTGCCAAAATGCTGCCAGGAGAAAGTAATGCTGCACCAAGCTCTGGGTTACAGCGAGTTTGGTTCCTGTTCAGAGCAGAGGGTAAAGCCAAATGTGCTCTGGCTTACTGAACCCAATACATGCCAAATTAAAGGCAGACTAAGTGTTCTTGTTCAAAGCTGTTTGTCTTAATGATGAGCACCAGGACAGAGTATTGTGCCATTGTAATTTTATCTTTGTCACTCTCCTCCTTTAAAAATAAAAACTTTATCGAAGCACTTGCTACCATTTTGAGTCCCCTCTCAAAGAAAAAGAAAAGAGAGGGAGATCAGGCAAACCCTCTGCTATTCAGACTCTGCCTTAGCTCTGTATTTCTGAGCTCCACGGTGATCCATTTACTCCTACATTTACTCACCCAACTGCTGAGCCGAGGGCACAGTTAAATTGTTTCTGTTCATCTGTTCCCCACCGGGCTAATGCAGACAGAAAACCGCTGTTAATGCCGCTTCAAGTGACCTGTCTTTAAAGGAGTCATGAAATCCTTGTCCTGATTCTCAGCCCTTTAAAACCATGCCTACATGTCAGAGACAGCAATGTGGTATCACCACCAAGACACAGCCTCAGGAAAGCAGCCCGGAGCATCCCCCTCCATCCGCGGCCAGCCTTGCAGGCAGGAACCGGCGGCTCCCGAGCCACAGGATGCCCCTGCCTGCACCCGCAGCACGGTCACGGCTGAAACTCTGCCACAGCAGCCATCGGTAACACGGCAGCTGCTGGGCCAGCACTGCTGGTTCAGTGCACACAGACCTCCTGAACGCCCGTGGGCTCAAAGCCCTGCCATACCCTCCCAAAAACGCTTATTTTCCTGAGGCTCAGTCCATCATCACTGAAACGACTCCCAGGCTTCCTGACTCAAGTGCTAAAAGCGAGGGGCAGGTGGCTGCTATTTAGAGGAAGAGGCAGCCAGTCAGTTCATATCTGGTCTGATACAGCAGGGTAAGTTAAGAACAGAAATTTGGTTGACCTCAGTTTATGAGCCCAAATGTCAGAGAGCAGATAATACCTATTGTAAATGTCAGAGTAAAGGGAATTTTATGTTCATTTTAAAAGAACATCAACAAAGATTTAGTGCCTATTGATGCTGCCATTCACACAGGCTCAGCATGAATGGTGGGGGTCCACATATGCAAACATACTGGAGAAATATTAAAGGGACATGCTTAAAATCATAGATCTGGTAAAGCACCCAAGCCCAGCTCAGCCTTCCTCAGTAATAAAGCAGCTTTTGGCAACACAAGGCTCTGATAAAGTCTGGCAAATGCAGGCTACCTTTACCAGAGCAGAACAGAGGAATTTGATATATAGTGGACTTCTCACCTTTACAATTTATCCCCGTGTCGTGGTTTGACACGGAAAAAGAATTTTTCCGGAAGGAAGAAGTCAATTTGGACATTAACTAATTGAAGGTGGACACGCCTCTGAGAACACAGATGGGTTAAAA